AAAATATTTTTTTCATGTAGAAATATATCGAGCTGTGATTATCTTTACAATAAATAAATAAATAAATAAACAAGCTAAGCTGCTAGTTAGGCGACAAGTTAGGCTGCCCGATACACTGTTGCTAGGCTGCTAGCTAGGCAACAAGCTAGGCAACTAGCTAGACAACTAGCTAGGCTACCAGCTAGGCAACAAGCTAGGACGCCAGCTACGCAATAAGCTAGGCGGCTAGCTATGCTAACTACGAAACCAGCTAGGCAACCAGCTCGGCTGCCAGCTAGGCTGCCAGCTACGCAACATGCTAGGCTGCTAGCTAGACATCCAGTTAGACATCAAGCTAGGCTGTTAGCTAGGCAACAAGCTAGACAACTAGCTAGGCTGCCAGCTAGGCAACAAGCTAGGCTGCTAGCACCTAGCTAGCCAACAAGTTAGGCAACCAGCCGGGCTGCCAGCTAGGCAACAAGTGAGGCTGCCAGCTACGCAACATGCTAGGCTGCCAGCTACACAATGAGCTAGGCGGCTAGTTAGGCTGCTAGCTAGGTAACAAGCTAGGCAATAATCATGACTGCCAGCTACGCAACAAGCTTGCTAGGCAACAAGTTACGCTACTAGCAAGCCAACAAGCTAGGCTGCTAGCTAGGCTGCCCAATTGGGCAGCGAGGTGGGCGACCACTGACGGCGGTTGTGGGAGTAGGTTTATAATTTTGTTTGGTTCAACCAAACCACGCTCCTGGAGCGTTAACACCCCTGCCGGGGTAACGGATAGGATACATAATACTGTACATATATAAGTATATTTATATAGAAATACATATTAAACATCCATGACCGGAGTACAATTCATAACACAAACATCTGTCCCCACCGGGATTCGAACCCGGGTCGGACCGCAACGCAGATTAAAGTTCGCTGTGTGCAAAAGCATACAGGCGTCCCACGGCTACCTCAAAAATTGTTTCCTAGATTCGAAATTATATATAAATTACTGTAGAAACGAATATTATTGACGGACACCCCTCAGAACTTCTATAAACCATATACACTGAACATATTAAAATAATAAAAAGCAAATAAGTTACAAAGTAAACTAGGGAAATCAAGCCAAGTACCGAAAATATGGATTAGATTCAGGTATATAGAGCATGTACATTAACAGATAGTTGCCTATTTTTAAAGTTAATGCATAAGAGTAACTTTTAAAATCAGGTGTCATTTCCGGTTATAATAAAGTACTCTGTGACAGAAACTGTGTGATGATTGTGAATGAGCCACAGATTAGAGAGAATTTTTAAACTCTCGTTAACCAAAGAAAGCTAAGAGATTTAGGTTCTATAGCTTCATTATTTTTGTTAGGTTGTTTTTAAGATAACCATATTTAAGATTTTTAGTGTATCACACATTATTTTTATAGTCAGGGAACGTAGGTCCATAGATAGACCTTAAAGTCTAACATATATACAGATTATAATGTGTTTATGGAGGTGTTTGGCAATAGACTTTTATGATGTCGCCTACCATCTATAATCTGAGCACATTTGCATCTAGTGAAAATTATAATATAGTAGTGGATATTAACCACAGTGTAATAAAAGAAAAAAAATATTTTTTCGATCTTTACAAAATAGATTTGTTTTTATGGTATATAAACAACTTCGATCAGTCTTTGGCTGAATGTTACTACACCCATAGCCATTAAAAATGATTCGTATGTTTTCCAAACCGGTAAAATTAAAAGTCCTTTTTAAAGTAAATATATTATACAAAGGTGTCCGTTGAAATCTAATGACTGTAAATTAAATTATAAATTACGCCAAGAATTACCGTGTATGTCAATATTTTTTGTGCAGGCCAATTTGAGCAATCTCCTTTCGAAAAATAAAACACAACATATTTTATGATAACCATCGAAAGGGTTAATCATAACGACTATTTTTTGCTAAATAACATAGCATTTTAAATGAAAGGAATGTCTTATTACGTGATAAAAATAATAAAATGATATACAAACTGTAGTACGTATGCATTTCTTTTTGCACTCCCATTTACAATACGATTAGCTGAAATTTATAAAAATAATAATTCGAAAATGGAACACATAAATTTTCAAGCGTCTGTTGCGAGTTTCGTTTTTGTTTATTTGCAATTTTTTTGTTAATTTACTTACCATGGCGTATCAAAATAAAATGGATTTAATGGAATTTATGAACGCGGACCAGGCAGCGGACGGGACTCGAGTCCCGAGGGTGCGGGTTCGAACCCGCACCCTTCGCAATCCGGGCGAATGCACTGAATGCAATGCTACCACGGCCCTATAAGCCGCGTCGAAATTTTCTTAGCCTTGAAAAAGTATTCATTTGACATTGTGGGTTACCTACAATGCGACGAGATGGCGCTGTCTGGCAGCTTAAGGCTAGGAAAATTTCGAAAATTAGCCGCCTAGCTAAAAATAAATATATAAAAATATATAAAGAAGCTAGGCTAGACTGCCAGCTACGCAACAAGCTAGGTTGCTAGCTAAGCAACGAGCTAGGCTACTAGCTAGGCTGCTAGCTAGGCAACAAGAAAGGCTACTAGCTAGCCAACAAGCAAGGCTACTAGCTAGCCAACAAGCAAGGCTGCTAGCAACTAGCTAGGTAACTAGCTAGTATGCTAACCAGGCAACCAGCTCGGCTGCTAGCTAGGGAACCAGCTGGGCTGCCAGATAGGCAACAAGTTAAGCTGCAAGCTAGGCGACAAGTCAGGCTGCCAGCTACGCAACCAGCTAAGGTGCTAGCTAGGCAACAAGCTAGGCAACAAGCTAGGCTGCTAGCAACAAGCCTAGGCAACCAGCTAGGCTGCTAGCTAGGCAACCAGCTAGGCTGCTAGCTAGGCAACGAGCTAAGTTGCTAGCTAGGCGACAAGTTAGGCTGCCAGCTACGCAACATACTAGGCTGCTAGCTAGGCATCCAGCTAGGCAACAAGCTAGGCTGCTAACTAAGCAACAAGCTCGGCAACTAGCTAGGCTACCAGCTAGGCAACAAGCTAGGGCGCCAGCTACGCAACAAGCTAGGCTGCCAGCTACGCAATAAGCTAGGCTGCTAGCTAGGCTGCTAGCTAGGCTGCTAGCTAGGCTGCTAGCTAGGCCTTTACCTAGGCTGCTTGCTACGCAACAAGCTAGGCTGCTAGCTAGGCAACAAGCTAGGCTACTAGCTAGCCAACAAGCTAGGCTGCCCAATTGGGCAGTGAGGTGGGCGACCACTGACGGCGGTTGTGGGAGGTTTAAAATTTTGTTTGGTAAGTGATGGACCTGGTGGAGTGGAACAGAAGTGTGTGCGCACTACCGGGAGCGTCCGCACTGGGGCTGATTCTGTACTGGGCCCATTCCGCATTGGGGCAATTCCGGACTCAGCCCATTCCGTATGGGACCAATCCGTGAGAGAAAGTAATCACTCCGTTTTAAATAAATTTTAAATAAAAATTCTCATCCTAAAAAAACAATCAACCTAACCAAACCTAAACCAAATGGTTTATTAAGAGAAACCCATTGGTAAACCATAAACCATTTGGTTTAGGAAGTGCCGACTCCTAGGCTCATTTTCTCCAAGGCTGATCGATCTGTTGCCGCCAAGCCGTCAACCGGCGTTTGGCGAGCCACAGCATATCCAAATGTACTGGAACTGCTTATCCGCAAAGTTTGGTTTGGTTTGTTTGACAGTAAGTCGATTATCACCAATCTATTAATTCCTATGGATGGAATACAATGAAATAGGGAAATTGGGGCGTGACTCACCACGTGGGTCCAGTGTAGATTGGTGGGTGCTAACGACTAAAGAATCACGAAAGAGCTCGAGATAACAATTTTTTGGTCACCCATCCAATGACCGACCATTGCGAAAATTTCTTAACTTCGACAATCGCAGGCCAAACGCGCTATCCACCTGCGCCATGGAGGGCAGCGGATATGGTGTGCTATTATTAAAATAAATAATAAATATTACCAACACTCGCACCAATTAGCCTAGCCCCAAAGTAAGGCTTTGCTGTTGGTATGACGGGGTAACGGATAGAATACCTAATACTGTACATATAAGTATATATATATATATATATAGAAATACATATTAAACGTCCATGACTGGAGTACAAATGCTCGTATTCATCACACAAACATCTGTCCCCACCGGGATTCGAACACGGGTCCTCTCGAGTCGGCGACACCATGAAACCCGGCGTACAAACCACTCGGCCTCGGAGGTCGTCAAAATCTACGGAGGTCTATGAATTATGATTTATAATTAGTATAAAAAAAGCGGCCAAGTGCGAGTCGGACTCGCCCATGAAGGGTTCCGTAACAGCAAGTAACATAATATAAAAGTTCTTGTAGTTCGTTTTTTTGTGTTTTTTAATATTAGTGTATTTTTTTTAATTGATTTATGATTTATGACGTATTAAAAAAACTACTTACTAGATCTCGTTCAAATCAATTTTCGGTGGAAGTTTGCATAGTAATGTATCATCATACATTTTTTTATTTTTATCATTCTCTTATTTAAGAAGTTACCGGGGGGGGGGGGGGGGGGGGGGGGGGGTTTGGACACATTCATGAACACGTATGGGTTTGATGAATGATACAATATAGACGTTTTTTGCCATTTGGCTACGGAACCCTAGAAATCGAACAGCCTAACAAATATAACACATTTCAGAGATCTCTTATTGACTTCAATAAAATGGCTTTAAATGGCCACATGCGAAACGGCAACAATCAAACTATGCTTTTTCAAAAAAATGCCATTTGTAGAGGATAAGTACTGAAGATTGAAGAATTGCCATCAAAGATTAATATAAAAAGATATCGTGTTTAGTATTGTATTTATAAATTGCTTTATATCTTAGTAGCAATACAAGACGGTCAATCATTGTGGGGAGGGCAACATTAGTATAGTTTCCTCTATGTCTTGACAAGCCTTTGCGAAAATTTGCTTATCCACCGTAATAGTGTCTCATTTTAGCCACAATATTATGCAGTCGAACGCGTCTCGTATAAGTATACGACCTTCGTAGATCCTTCAAGGAAAATAAATAAAAACATTGGTTATAAAAGTGGTACAGGCTACAACCTGTTTAGTTACTGTGCATTTAAGAATCAATACAACATCATTATCTGTGCTGTGTTCTATTTTTAAATTGGAATTTGTATCAAGGTAATTAGAAAAAAGTACCTATGGTTTATTCTCATAAGTCCGGAAAAGTTGTGATTTTATTATAATATTAACAGGTGGAGGAAAAGCTTGTTTGAAGGAAAAAAATAGGTATATTTCTAAAACGCATTGGAGTTCTTATTTTATTTTTGTATATTCATGAAAGCAAATTACTCTACCCCACCTGATGCTAAGTGATGATAAAGTCCAAACGCGAAAATGTTTCTTCTCGCCTCTCTTAGAGGACCCCAGTTCGTAGGAAGGAGTGAACACGTGCGCGGGCAAAGATTTCCACATATGAATAGTAAGACAAAGAAATGAGCCTATCTTGTTTAAAAAAAAAATTGAGCCTAACTAACTATAATAATACGTATTCGATATGTTTTTTTCCAGATGTCTAAGATTTTATTTTTCTTCTCTCTTCTTGCGGTGTCTTACTGCCAAAACAACGAGGTCAGGTCAAATCAGCCTTCTATACCTGGTGATAAAAATAAGGTGCAAGAGACGATTCCAAATCTACAATCTGACGTGACTTCAAAAAATAAGAATGGTTGGTACTTTTTTCCTTTTTATGTTTTTAAATAAATAAATATTTCCAACACTCACACCAATTTGTTGGTAATTTATTTATGTTTGCGTGAAATCATTTGTATCCATATCCACAAAACTATACATGTATATATTTTCATCCCCTTCGAGTTTTAGTACAGCAAAGGCAAAAAGTACCCTTTGTATAACAAGTAATTGCTATGTATATTTCTATATTGGTCTGTTTTCCAGACTCTAAACTCTTGAGATCTATGATTTTTGTGACAAAAAACCAAAAATAATTAGAAAAAAATTTGTCTTCAAAAAAAAAACCATTGGTAACTTAATCTAACCTTTAGGTTTCCAATTGTATTTATTTTATTAAAGATTTTTTTTATTTTTTTTTATGGTCTTTATATTTTTTCCTTTAAATATTTTTTAATTTATTCGAAAAAATGTTCATCGATCATTTTTATTTCGATAAAATATTAAGTTGCGGATCTGGCGTGAATGGCGTGTAGGAAATTCTACGAAATACTTTGTTACTTTGACACTAAGGCTCGTATTACAGAATGACAACCAAGTGTTGATCTTTACTTGAGTACAGTTAGAAAGGGATGTCGCTATGTGCTATATATCTGCTCTTCTATAATACGGGCCTAAGTGTCGCCACACACGGGCACAAAACGCCGCCACCGGCATATTTCTTGTATTTGTTTCTTAGGTTTTCACGCACATCACTCATTAAATAAAACTAGTTTTTACGGGTTAATGCACGAAACTTTATTTATTTATTGACGTTTCGCAGCCTTTTCAGGTCTGCATCGTCAGAATAATCGTGCATTAACCCGTAAAAACTAGTTTTATATATTTCTTGTAGTTTTCATACATTTTATATGGACTCGCCACACACGGTACGCCGGTGGCCGCCAGACGCTACAAATCGTCGTTGGTCGCTTCTTGTGGCCCGCACCGGCCACTTAATGCTCCGATACAAAACGCCGCCACACGTCACTCGCGCGATTCCCCACCCCTCTCTCCTTTACCTTAGTCGGTCGCTGTCGCGCGCTTCAGCCACTTTAGTAGCCGCTTCTAGCTTCTCGTGGCGGCGTTTGTGGCTTGGCGTGTGGCCTGTGTGCGGCGACACTAAGCGATTAGTGGATAAAAATTATAGATATATAATGCGATTCAAATAAGAATAGGAGAACCTCCATCTGTCAAATGACGCTTGATAAGTACGATTTGCAAAAAAATCATGGAACTCGTTTTTAGCTCTCAGCTAATTCTAGAATAAAAATACCAAACATTTGTAAACAAACATGACGACGATGACAACTCCGGTAGTTATGCAGAGCTGAGCGGAATCGAAGAGGTAGATTCCGATTAATATTTGTACTCACACAGTCTTAATTAATAAATGTTATTAAAAATTGGTTGTTTTTTTCTCTCAATCTTAGTAAATAAATTTTATTAATAAAATGTGATGTTTTTCTCATTTAATCTTAGTAAATAAGTTTTATTTAAAAAACAATCTGATGTTTTTTTTCTCACTTAATCTTAGTAAATAAGTTTTATCGAAGAAAAACTTTTTTGCTTACTCTACCTATTTTGTTTCAACTGACAGCTATGACATTACAAAATGGCGCCCAGTCGATCCTATTCTTAGTTGAATCGCATTATACTATTAATCATTAATTTGAGGTTAACTGCTGTTTTCGATATCTTACGGTGTCCTTAAAACAATTAAATCCTTAAATTAAGTGAATACGTAATATTTTTCTATTTTTTCAGTTGACGAACCATGCACGGCAGATAATGCTGAGGCGGGTGTGTGCGTTCCCTTTTACCTATGCAACCATAACAGAACTAACATAATGGATACAAGTGGATTGGGGATCATTGATATAGCGTATGAATGTTTTATTATGTTTATCTTAAGCCGAGTCTCCAGCAAATCATCATCCTCATCAGCCTATTAATGTCCCCACTGCTGGGGCACAGGCCTTCCCTATGGATGGAATAGGGAGATTGGGCCATGACCCATCACACGTGTCCAGTGCGGATTGGCGGGTGCTTACGACTGCAGATGCGGCTGGGACCAACGCAACGGCTTAACGTGCCTTCCAAAGCACGGAGGAACTCGAGATAGAAGATTTTTAGTCACCCATCCAATGACCGACCACTTGCTTAACTTCAACAATCCCAGCCGAACGCGGTAACCACTTGCTCCATCGAGCTCCTCATCAAAAGTTTTTTCAAATATATTCAACAAAACACATACACAACTTTGTTTCTGAAACATGTTTCTCTACACACGCCGTCTACTGTACCCTTAGCACGAATCACTATCGAATTCGAATAGTTGAAATCTATGTCAAATGTATACTGTTTTTTAGTTCTCGTTACGTTCGTTGTAGTGCTGCTGTTCAAGTTTCCATACAACATTTGACGGTGACATTTCGCACTCGCAAACTATTCGAATTCGATAACACTTGTACACGTTGACTAACGATCTTAATAATATGTGGACATTGACTTCTTGGACATTCAGAGACTTGTACACATTGACTAACAGTCTTAATAAAATCTAGACATTTTGTCTGTCACCTTGGACATTCTGACCCTTGGCCTAACATACCCCAGAGGCAAATTTAGCAGTGGTCAGTCATTATATGGATGACCATTTTATTATCTTGAGCTCCTCCATGCTTCGGAAGGCACGTTAAACTGTTATTGGACACCCACCGATTTGCGGTCATGGCAATGGGCTCGCGGACTAAAGCAATTAGGGTCGTGGACCACAATTGGTGAGGATCACTTTTGTGAGGCTAGTGCCGTATCTACCCTTTTTTGTTTTAATCTAAGGTTGATGATGAATTACGCCTGCATGATTTTTTGCATTACTCCAAAAGAAAGCAATCCTTACTGGATAAAATACAGACGAAGCTATTCAACACCTAAAATGAACTTAGAATAGCACTTTTTTCAGTGTAAATGACGCCCCTTGCGAATCATACCTCGACACATGTTGTACTGTATCAAACAGGAGAGATCCAGCAGATCCCATCATTCCACTATCAACGGAGAAACAGGTATCTGAAATCCATTCTTCTCATTCAACCAAACAAATAAACTAACTCATAAACACTTTATCCTTCATGTTAACTAAATCAGCAGGAATTCTACCTTTTTATCAAATATTTTGACTTGAAACTCACAACACAGTAGGTTTTACAGATAACTTGAAGTTGACAATTATTCTCTAGTGTCATCACTGACTCATGAATATTAACGTCAAACCTTAAGGAAATTTTGCACAAAGTTTCCGTTGTGATGTCTTGTATAAGAATCTTTCTTCCTACTAATAATAGGTTGAGGAAAAAGTCTCTTCGCATTATTAGTATTTATGAACTTTTAATAAAATCTCTTTGGCTACACCATTTGCATCTGGTTGGTTTTGTATCATTGATGAGTTTAAATTTTAAAGAGAAACGAACTTTTTAGCAATCCTTGAATTCACCGTGTTGGTGCCGGGTCCATCGTGTGGGAGAGAAAGAAACTCTGAGCAGTTCCCGGGACCCAGGTGTAGGTTTAAGGAGGCCTCCTTTGAGATACGCATCAACGCTCAACTTCACTGGTCGAGTTGTACCCTTCTAATAATTCCAAATTCAAATTAGAAAAATGATTGATTTTCATTTATTTTTCTTACTGTCAAGATGAGTGAATCTAATAAAAATATTTACACTTGGACTTTTTGGCGGGATCGGGAAGCGTCACTTTAGCAGTTTTGTTTCTCTTGTTAAAAATTGTGTTGTGGCGGATGTTAGTGTTTAATAATGGTGGATTATTAACCACTAAGTGTTCGGGAACATGCACAAGTGAAACAAAATAGCGGAAAGTGTCTCTCTCTAAATCCCCACACATTTACTGAAACATAGGGAAAGGGGGATTGACTTGACTGCCACTTACTTTGACTTGATTTATTACTTTGACCACGAGTGCTATATAATTTGTAAACATTTTTAACACTTGACATTGGCTCAATGCACAAGCCGTGCGAAGCCATTTAGGAAAAAACAAAAGAAAACGATACATTTTCAAATGTAAGTATAAAATTCTCGTGTCAGGTGTGCGTAATTGAACTATGCCAAATCTGTTTTTCATCCCCCTAAATGTTAAGGTAAAACCTTTTTTTTGGATTTTTTTTGTTTTAATTTTTTTAGAAGAAACTTTTTCCCCAACCTAGTATTAAAAATGCGAAAGTTTTTATAAAGTAGATGTTTGTGACTCAATCACGCAAAAACGGCTTAAATAATGTATATTAGTTTATCACCTTGATTGTCACTAAATATACTTTTTACCTCGGTTAGGTTCCCGAGGGATTCTCGAAAAATTTAAGTTAACATGGACGAAGAAGACGAGGGCAGCCGCTAGAGAGAAATATATTAATTAACTTTATCTTGTAGCGTGGTGGTTGCGGTTGGAGAAATCCTCAAGGTGTTCTTGGGTTCCAAACAAGAGGAGGGGAGGACGAAGCTAAATTCGCAGAGTTCCCGTGGATGGTCGCTATATTAAAGTGAGTGTCACAATTGTATTTTATAGTAAGTAAATTATGAAGGTAGTTTGTCACAAGTCACACGCGACAGCCACAAACGCCGCCACGACAAGCTAGAAGCAGCTACAACGGTAGCTGAAGCGCGCGACAGCCACTTGTGGCCGGTGGTCGACACTTGACGTCGGTGGCTGTTACTTTTTTAACATATACGTGCAATATCATAATGAACTCTGACGAAAAAGGTTTGTAATTGGGGAATCGCGCGAGTGGCGTGTGGCGGCGTTTTGTATCGGTGGATTAGTGATTGGTGCGGGTCACAAGAAGCGAGCATCAACGATGTGTGGCGTGAGGCGGCCACCGGCGTTAACCGTGTGCGGTGAGCCATATAAAATGTATGAAAACTGTAGGAAATATGTCGGTGGCGGCGTTTTGTGGTTGTGGCCGGTGACCCGTGTGCGGCGACACTGGAAACTACAGCCGAGTAACTCTCCAATTTCAAAAGGGTGTGGCAATCGGCAAACAGGCACTATGACCTGCATAATGGTAATAGGTCACCCATATAGTACGTCACACGTTAAGGGGGGAGCGAGTCGACGAAGTGGGACAAGAAGTGGGAGCGGTCTAAAGTTTCGTGACATCACAATTCAAAATCAAATAACAACGAAAACTTAGTTACTTACTTATTTCGAAACTGTTATTTTAATTTAATTATTTTTAGATGTAAATTTTAAAATATGTGACGTCGCACTAGGGAGAGGAGAGGGTCACATAAATGTGACCAACTCTGACAAGAACATTTATGTTATAATTTAAAATTTTAAAGCATGTAAATGCTTGATGTTTAAATCTAAAGAAAATGTAACTAGAAAAAATTCCACGCGGACCAGGCAGCAGACGGGACATTTATGGATAATCCCAAAGCGGCTGTCAAAGCTTTCATCATAAACCTATTAATTTCTTCACTGCTGGGGCACAGGCCTTTCCTAGGGATGGCATAGATAAATTGGGCCATGACCTTCCACGCTGGCCTACTGTGGATTGGTGGATGCCAACGACTACAAATGCAACAGATGGACGTTTGTTATCTGTACAAAACTATGGGCGCGTTGCTTACTGTCACCTCATCGTCAACCCCGTGGTCTAATGTAGCAATGTGTTTGTTTAGTGCCATCCATACTTTATGGCTGTTGTGTACGACGTACATATGTGTCCCAATCTTTGTTCATCAGGATTGACCCAGTAAATGCATCAGACGTGAACGGCCAACAATTGAAAGTCTACATTGGTGGAGGATGCCTGATCCACCCCAGCGTGGTGCTGACCACCGCCCACTTCGTAGCTAAAGCCAACAAGCTGATAGTCCGCGCCGGAGAATGGGACACGCAGACGACCAAGGAGATCTACCCATATCAGGACCGCGATGTAGGTTCCATGGAGATACACAAGGACTTCGATGGAGGTTAGTTCATTGTTTTTAACCTATTCATATCCTCACTAGTTGAGACACAATCCAGGCTAGCGACAAAGTATTGTCTACTAAGCATTTACTGCACGCGTGGTGAGACGACAAGCGAACGAGCCTGTCGTCCTCCGTAGCCCCATTAGTTCGCACGTATACATTTTTGTATCTAGTACAAGTTGTATAAGGGTTGTGTAAAATCTCGAGTTGTGTAACAAATAAAACTACAGACATCCAGGTACATTGACTTTATTATTCCATACGGAAGGACTCTTCATCATCATCATCATCAGCCTATTAATGTCCCCACTGCTGGGGCATAGACCTTCCCTATCGACGGAATAGGGAGATTGGGCCATGACCCACGACGCGGGCTCAATGCGGATTGGTGGGTGCTAATGACTGAGGAGCTCGATGGCGCAGGTGGCTAGCGCGTTCGGCTGCGATCGTTGAAGTTAAGAAACTTTCGCAGTGGTCGGTCATTGGATGGGTGACCAAAAATTTACTATCTCGAGCTCCTCCGTGCTTCGGAAGGCACGTTAAGCCGTTGGTCCCGGCTGCATTTGCAGTCGTTAACACCCACCAATCCGCAATGGGCCCGCGTGGTGGGTCATGGCCCAATCTCCCTATTCCATCCATAGGAAAGGCCTTTGCCCCAGCAGTGGGGACATTAATAGGCTGATGATGATGATGGTGATGAACGATTGCAGATGCAGCCGGGACCAACGGCTTAACGTGCCCGTACCGAAAAGCACGAAGCACGTGCCGAAGGATGCATGTACCAGCAATACCCAGACCACGAAAAAGATCTACCCCAAACAGGTTCGCGGCTTTTGGATTAGAAAAAGATTAGGAAAGGAGCTTTTTGAAGATGAGTTCTCGTATTGATACTAACTGTTGATAATGAGTTACCTCATTGATTCCAATTTTGGTATCTAAACTGTGGTTAATGACGTCATATATACAGAATTATGGTCGTTGGAAGGGAGTTATATTATTGCTTTCACGTTTTCTCTAGGACATGCCAGCTAACATCTGGTAGACCTTATGCTCGTCAGAAGGCAAGTGACTGAAAAATATTATAAAATCCCTAGTACAGGATTATAGGGAATATAATTATTCTGAGAGCTTCTGATACAAGAATAATAGATAGGTTTATGACGATTTCCTTATACCCAGGTAAATTGTTCTACGACATCGCGTTGTTATTCCTGACGAAGCCCATGGATCTGGCGCCCAACGTGGGGGTGGCATGCTTGCCGCTGCCCAAGCAGAAGGCGATACCCGGCACCAGGTGCTTCGCCACCAGCTGGGGCAAGGACAAGTTTGGCAAAGAGGGACGCTACCAGGTCATACTTAAAAAGGTCAGTGATAAGATAAATAGTTCCTGTTGATAAAATACTCATAATATGTCCCCTTGTCGAGGGTGGAAGCTTTAATGGCCCCGGCACCAGGTGCTTCGCCACCGGCTGGGGCAAGGACAAGTTTGGCAAAGAGGGGCGCTACCGGTCATACTTAAAAAGGTCAGTGATAAGATAAATAGTTCCTGTTGATAAAATACTCATAATATGTCCCCTTGTCGAGGGTGGAAGCTTTAATGGCCCCGGCACCAGGTGTTTCGCCATCGCCTGGGGCAAGGACAAGTTCGGCGAGAAAGCCCGCTACCAGGTCTTACTTAAAAAAGATCAGTGATAAGGCAAAAGGTCGGTAGTAGGTTCCACTTGGTCGGGGAATGAGTCGAATAGGCAATGGCACGAGTGATAGTTAAGGTATAGGTATCGCACTCATCTAAAACTATAGTGGTTGCTTACTAACAGGCGGGTCATGCATGTTTGCCTTCATCGTCCGTTCTTCAGGGAAGGATCGAAGTATATCAAGCCATATGGGCCCGGCACACGGTGTTTCACCACCGACTGGAGCAAGGACAAGTTCGGCAAGAAGGGACGCTACCAGGTCATACTTACAAAGGTCAGTAGTAGGAGCAAATACAAAGAGGAGTTGTTGTACAGAGTTTATCCTTTATCAATCAGGAAGTGTCAATGTATCTTATTCTTTGGAGGTATCTAAAAAAATCAGTATTACAAACAATGCAGTTCTTCCCAGGCTCTTTAATTTATACAGTCAAACTGATATCAGCTCTTCTGGTGCTAAGTGCCTATTTAAAGCTATTAAATGAGTGATGTCAGGGCAATATTGATAAAAGCCGTGGGTATCTTAAATATAACAGCTCTTTGTAACTATTTAGTCCGTGTGCAAGAATTATTATTTGTGATGTCATCAGGGGTATATAATCCTGACGCGGAAGAATCCCTAAACGGGGATCCCGCGGTTTTGCACTAAGCAGTTTAGAGGGTATTGGCAGGGTTTTTAGCGGATATTATGCTGTAAAGCTCCCGTAAGAGTTACGGGGTCCTCAGTGGGCGGCCACTGTGGGGTTCGTAAGGTTTGCGGGAGCCAGGGGTGAGGTCCGTTCGGCGGTGTGCCTCTTAAAGGCGCCGTCGTCTGTAAACAGAGTTTTTGCCTGCGTCACAAAAATAGGGGGTATATAATCCTCAATATAAGATCTATGTCCCTGATGACATTAATAGGCTAGTTTTAATTCCAAATTTTACTAATACACCAAACAATTTTACATACGTTCATTCTAGGTCGAGTTACCAGTGGTAGAGCCAAAACAGTGCAGGGACTTGCTCCGTAAGACGAGACTTGGGAAGTTGTTCGAGCTGCACAGCACCTTCATGTGTGCTGGAGGGATAGGAAAGGATACATGTAAGGGAGATAGCGGTGCTCCACTCAGCTGTCCTATAGAGGTGAGTTGTTCAATGTACAGGAAACTATTCTTTCGGCGAAGTACTCAAGAGGAACTCGATGGCGCAGGTGTTTAGCGCGTTCGACTGCGATCGTTGAAGTTAAGCAAATTTCGCAGTGGTCGGTCATTGGATGGGTGACTAAAAATTTTCTATCTCAAGTTCCTCCATGCTTCGGAAGACACGTTAAGCCATTGGTCCCGGCTGCAGTCGTTAGTACTCTCCAATCCGCACTGGACTCGCGTGGTGGTTCATGGTCCAAACTTCCTATTCCATCCATAGGTAAGGCCTGTGCCCCAGCAGTGGGGACATTAATAGGCTGATGATGATGATGTTGTTGATGACCTATATGGATATCTGAGAAGGGTATAAGCATGATGCTTACAATGTCTCCACTGCTGGGCACAGGCATTTCCTAAGTTGGAAAAAAAATGGGTTATAAAATTGGTTAGACATCGGGGCATGACTTACGTTGCACTCAATGGCGGTTTAATGTGGGTTGGTGGATGCTAACGACTGCAGATGCGCAAAAGGCAACGGTCAAATATGCCTTCCGAAGTACGAAGTACGGAAAAGCTAGTCCCCCCCACGACAACGAAGTCCGAGTCTCAGAGACGCCCTCTAGTTGAGCCGACCCCCTCCCTCAGTTTGGAGTGGAGAGATGCCATCCGCCTGGAATACCTCTAGAGGCACTCGCCAATTCTCAGCTTGAGGTCCCCTTAGGATCTCGCCGTCCCTAAACCCGGTGACGATGTAAATGTCATCTGCGACCAACAGCATACACACTTAAAAAAAACTGCTGAGTCAACTTCAATTCGAAGATTCTAGAATGCAGCGTTATTTCGTTGTTAACAGAAGGTGGGCGGTTAAATTGGATATCACACAACCAAAAAAAGAAGTGAAAAGCTAGAGAAAGCAGTTTTTGTATCGATATAATGACCAGTCATATCAATATGATGTTTCAAGGTTACAGAAATCCACGTGGTTTGGCCAAATATGGTTGAACAACATAAACCTAATTATACGAAAATACATAAATTTTCCGCATTATTGCTGATTTCTGAAAAAACGCGAACCAACTTCGCTATTCTGGCACCTTATAATTGGACTCAGCGACCCCGAAAACAAAGTTCAGGTAGTCTGGTCTTTCGCGCACGGTACTTTTTTTTGTGGGCCTGTGTTATTTATTGTTTTTATTAACTAAGAAATGGAGGGCCATCAAAGTTGTCATTTTTAGACTAATTTTGTTACGTGGTCTATCTCAAAATCAAAACTAGTTAGGAATGTGAAATTTTGGTACATAATGTCCCATATGCTGTATTTAATTAACAAATACTGAAAACGCCGATTTATAACGAATTTGTATATAAAATTCCGCAAACTGACAAATTATGGAGGTCACGAAATATTAAGTTGGCATGTTATATTACGCAATTATAGTTTACTTTTAATTTACATTATACTAATAAAAACACTCTCTGTTCAACCTTGTTTAAATTACCATCTCCGATCTTAACTTCGTCACCTGGTAATCACCACATTGGTGACCCCGCGTAAAATTCGTACGTAATTACATTCAAAAGTCAAGATGAATCCCATTGGAGAGCAGCCTTATCAGTGCTTAGGAGTGCCCAGCAGCCACGCGCCCAAAACCAATACAACCCCTGCATCAAGTACGACTTCAGTTGACAAGGAGCTAGCTGCAATTACAATATCAAGCAAAATCGCGGACTTTTGGACAAAAATGCCGAGACTGTGGTTCGCACAATTTGAGACCATCATGGCACCACAAAAACAGGGAGATGAGTCGAAATTCAACATTGTCATATCCAAACTGGGACGCGACTCCATCCAACAGGTCAGCGATATTTTACTCGCGCCTCCAGCTGAAAACAGACATAAAATTCTCAAAGACAGATTACTTGCTGTATATGAAGAATCCGAAGAACGTCAATTCCAGAAGCTCGTCAGCGAGATGGAGCTCGGCGACCAGAGACCCTCACATCTACTGCGACGCATGAGACAGTTGGCTCAGAAAACACAAGTAACGGATTCAACTTTACACAATTTATGGACATCTCGGTTACCAGCTCACGTACGCGCCGTGCTGACTGTGAGTCAGGACCAAAACCTAGATAACTTAGCCGCCATAGCTGATAAGATTATGGAGAATAACCATCCAGGCGAAATAGCTGAAGTGTCCCAACTTTCCCAGTCTCCAGTTATGACGGAGTTGTTAGCCCACATTAACAAGTTATCATTAGAAGTAGCTTCGTTACGAGGCCAAATCAATAATAGAAGAAACCGATTTGAAGGTCGTCGCAACCAATTTCGCAGCAGGTCGAGATCCCGGTCTATGCCACGAAAGGCTCCTATAACACCGGACAGTCCGAATTGGCTCTGCAAGTATCATCTACGTTTCAGAGGGAGAGCAAGGAATTGCGAACTGCCCTGCAATTGGATCAAACCTAAACCGTCGGAAAACTAGAAACAGCGCTGACCGAGGCGGATGTCAGCGCTATCTTACCGTCAAGCCGTCTATGCGTTACCGACCGCAAAAGTGGGTATCGTTTTTTGGTTGACACCGGCGCCAACATCTCCGCATTACCAAAACAAGGGTCAAGATTATCATCAAACAACAAATACAAATTATTCGCTGCGAACGGGACAGAAATTAAAACATACGGCGAAAAAACGCTGACGCTAAACCTTAACTTGAGACGGCCGTACAAATGGAATTTTATTGTAGCGGATATTAAGCAACCCATTCTCGGAGCTGATTTTCTTGCCTATCATAATATTTTAGTGGATATACGTCACAAAAAACTAATTGATGGAGTGACTGGATTGATATCACAAGGCTGTATCACAAATTCTTCGATCCCTACAATACGGACATTAAATTCTACGGGTCCCTTCGCCGAAATATTAGAGAAATTTCCGAATATTACGAAACCATTCACTTCTAACTTAAAACCGAAGCACAACGTAACGCATCAAATAATAACAGATGGTCATCCGGTATATTCGAAATGTCGTCCTCTGCCCGCAGATAAATATAACAGAGTAAAAGAGGAAATCCAGCTCATGCTCGAAGCAGGTATATGCAGACCATCGAAAAGCCCCTGGGCAAGCCCACTACATGTTACAAAAAAGAAAAATGGTGATTTAAGGCTCTGTGGTGATTACAGAAAATTAAACGCAATCACGAAACCTGATCGTTACCCGATTCCACGCCTGCTCGACTTCACATACCTCTTGCCCGGGACGAAAATCTATTCCAGGATTGATTTAAATAGAGCATACAATCAAATATTAGTCCAAGATGTCGAAAAAACCGCCGTTATTACACCGTTTGGTCTATTCGAATTCCCTAGAATGCCATTCGGATTAAGAAACGCAGGACAAACCTTCGTAAGATTTTTAGACACAGTTCTATCAGGCTTAAATTACGTATACAAATACGTTGATGACGTATTACTTACCTCGGACTGCGAGAGTAATCACAGAAAATATCTAGAAGAAGTTTTTAGAAGATTTAGCGAATATGGCATAACAATAAATCAAAATAAGTGCGAGTTTGGCAAAAGCGAGATAGAATTTCTCGGATATCTTATTACGCCGCAAGGTATAACGCCGTTGCCGGAGAAAGTAAAAGCCATCGCAGACTACCCAAGACCGGAAACTGTACTGCAACTAAGACGTTTCCTTGGAATGATTAATTTCTACAGAAATAATATTCCACACGCAGCAAAATATCAAGCGCACCTAAATAAGTACTTATCTGTAGGCAAGAAAAACGATAAGACTAAAATCTTATGGACAAATGACGCAATAGAAGCATTTAATCAATGTAAGGACAGTTTAAAAAACGCCACCACATTGACTTCACCCTCGCCAGATGCGCCCATATCTCTAATGACAGACGCATCAAACACCTGTGTCGGAGCCGTGCTGCAACAGTATGAAAACAAAAATTGGAAACCATTAGCTTTCTTTTCCAAATCGCTAAGTAAGGCGCAACAAAATTACAGCACATATGATCGTGAGTTATTAGCGATTTACATGTCTGTCAATCATTTCCAACCGTACATAGAAGGGCGTGAAGTAATTGTATATACGGATCATAAACCGCTATCGTATGCATTTCGACCGCAGAAAAATGTGTCAAGCGAAAAGGGTTCCCCGCGGAGATTACGACATCTGGAATACATCGCTCAATTTACTACGGACATACGACACCTCGCCGGCGATAACAACCCCGTCGCAGACGCACTGTCTAGAATCGCACAAATAGATTGCCCTTCACCTTTGCAGTGGCACAATGTAGCGAATCAGCAAAAACACGATTCCGAGCTCGACCAGCTGATCCTCGATAACAAACGAAAATGGAAAATAATTGACTTAGGAAATAATACCAAATTATATGCAGAAAATTCTTTATCAAACACAAGACCATATATTCCAAAATCACTTCGTAAACAAGTTTTCGTATATATGCACAATGTGAGTCATCCTGGTATCCGAAACACAAGAAAAAAATGGTTGCCTGTAAAGTCGGTTTTACGGGCGAAGATTTTACGTGACAACGTCTTTTTCTCGGTAGAATATTTATTGATATGAATATAATTAAATTGCACAATAGGAACAAGGAATTGAATGAAAATAAGAATTGCACAAATTTTAACTATAGAAATATATTTTGTTTACTAAAACATTGTACATGTAAACTTAAACTCATCGTAACGTTACCGAGCGTTACACTTTTTCATAAGTGACTCCCAGCCGCAACCTAATTTAAGACGTTGTCACGTCAAAATGATCACAACACATTTCTTTTGGCCTAATATGAACACCGAAATTGCAAGATGGGCGAAAGAATGTATATCATGCCAAAAATCAAAAATAACACGGCACAATTCAGCAACATTAGGAAGTTTCCCAGAATCAGCAAGATTCGAACACGTACATTTGGATATAGTCGGACCATTATCAATATCAAACGGAAATAAATACATAATTACCATGATAGACCGCAAAACGAGATGGCCGGAAGCTGCGCCAGTACCGGAAGTGACAGCTGATGTTGTCGCGAAAGAATTTATTAAAACCTGGATATCTCGATTTGGATGCCCCGCGACCATAACCACGGATCAAGGAAGACAATTCGAGTCCAACTTATTCATTGCACTTACAAAAGAGCTCGGTATTAAGAAAAACAGATGCACGAGTTACCATCCCCAGTCAAACGGGATGATAGAGCGCTGGCACAGATCTATGAAAGCTGCTTTGATGTCCCGCGGAAATACAACGAATTGGTCATCTGAGTTACCTTTTGTATTGCTTGGATTGCGATCAGCCCTACGCAGTGATTCTAACATAAGCCCCGCTCAGATGCTGTATGGAACAAATATCCGCCTTCCTGGTCAATTTTTGGAACCTAAACTACAAGAAAATTCACCTGAAACCTTCACACAAGAATTAAAAAATATCATGGGTCAATTAAGTCCAATAAAAACTGATCACCACTCGTCACGAAAATCATTTATTCACTCTGATATGAGCACATGTGACTACGTTTTCGTGCGAACGGATGCTGTAAAAAAACCTCTCACTTCGCCATACGAAGGCCCATATCAAGTCATAGAGAAGCAAGATAAATTTTTCAAAATACAATTAAATAATAGAACGGCGATAATTTCCATAGACAGATTAAAACCTGCATTTATTGCACAAGAACAAATCGAAGAACAAGATAAAAATTTACAGAAACAGGAAACCTGCAATAATAACACAAAACTCAAACATGAAAACATTAGCTCAAATAACAATACGACGGGAACATCAAGAACTAGATCGGGTAGAATAATACGTCCGGTCGTTCGATTTACCGTATAGGTAACAAACAAGTTCATAATATCGCAAACGCGACAAAACGCATAGAGCATTGCAACACCTACCTATAATTAATTTAATTCCCGTTCATTATTACAATCAATTACGCCAAACAAGCAAGACCTTTAATAAGTACAGATTTTATCTAAAGAAGTACTGAAATAAAAGATGGGCGGATATTCTTCAAAAGACGAGGTGGACGTCGCACAAACAGCTGCTGGCAGCGGCAGCAGCAGCGATAACGTTACAGCCGTCGAAATAATGACAGGATCCATTTTCCTGTTTTTCCTCATATTTATGGTGTATCTGGTATACAAGCGGTGTTACAGAACTCTGAGTAAGAAAATAGTCAGGGAAATAGAGATGACCAACCGTCAAACGACGCTCGTGCCCACCGTGTCGATGAGATGCGCCGCCTCTACGCCGCAGCAGCAGGCACAAGTCAACCCTGCATTCATCCCGTGAAGTGAATAGGTTCAAAGTGAACAGTGCAGTGTCAGTGCAAGTGAAAGTTAGCATAATATTAATATTATATATTTTAAGGTATTTGACATACAGTTTTATATACAAGATACATAAAGGGATTGGCTTTGAATTTACAATGTATGATTTATTTTCTTGTTTATTATGTTTTTTTTGTTGTTTTTATTTCTAATAAAGGGGGGAATACTGTAGGTGTATAATATGTAATGATGCAATAATAATATTAATAATAAAATTCCGCAAACTGACAAATTATGGAGGTCACGAAATATTAAGTTGGCATGTTATATTACGCAATTATAGTTTACTTTTAATTTACATTATACTAATAAAAACACTCTCTGTTCAACCTTGTTTAAATTACCATCTCCGATCTTAACTTCGTCACCTGGTAATCACCACAAATTTAATAAGTTGTGGCGAAAACAAACAAATGATTTTTCCTTTCGCGGTTTGTTGTACGGAACCCTTCGTGCGCAAGTCCAACTCGCACTTGGCCGGGTTTTTAAATTCAAGATTCTGTGTTACTATTTTCTAATTAAAATCATTTTTACAGTACCAGGAGAACAGATACGTACAGAACGGTATGGTCGCGTGGGGCATCGGGTGCGGGGAGGACGGCACCCCCGGCGTGTACGTAGACGTGTCCGTACTGCGGGACTGGATCGACGACAAGGTGGCCGGCAAGGGATACGACCCCGCTGTCTACTCCAGATACTAAACAACGCGGCAATACCACAGCTATAGGTGACCGGCGAGGGGTAAGACTCCGCCATCTACTCCAGATAGATACTAAACAACGCGGCAATACTGCAGCTATAGGTGGCCGGTAAGGGTTACGACTCCGCCGTCTACTCCAAATAGATACTAAACAACGCAGCAATACCACAGCTATAGATGGCCAGCAAAGGACACGACCATGCCGTCTACTCCAGATACTAAACAACGCAGCAATACTACAGCTATAGGTGGACGGCAAGGGGTACTACCCTGCCGTCTACTCCAGATACTAAACAACGCGGCAATACCACAGCTATAGGTGGACGGCAAGGGGTACTACCCTGCCGTCTACTCCAGATACTAAACAACGCAGCAATACTACAGCTATAGGTGGACGGCAAGGGGTACTATCCTGCCGTCTACTCCAGATACTAAACAACGCGGCAATACCACAGCTATAGGTGGACGGCCAGGGGTACTACCCTGTCGTCTACTCCAGATACTAAACAACGCGGCAATACCACAGCTATAGGTGGCCGAAAAGGGTTAAGACTCACGCAAAATAGGCACCTGGTGTAGAGTTGCGGAAAACACCCATCGTTCAGAAAAACAAGTAGAAGGGTACGACTCCGCCGTCTACTCCCGATACTAAACAACGCGGCAATACCATATAGCTATAGGTGGCCGTCGAAATAAAAGACGATTAACTCTACCGTCTACTCCCGATACTAAACAACATGGCAATACTACAGCTATAGGTGGCTGGCAAGGGTTACGACTCATGAAAAATAGGCACCTGGTGTCGAGTTGCGGAAAACAAAAAGAAGAAGAAGGGTAGGGAAGAAGTACGACCCCGCCTACTCCCGGTACTAAAGAACGCGGCAATATATAGGCTATAGGTGGCCGTTTTCGGTCTTACTACAAAAAAATTAACTCTGTTTTAAATCTCGTTAAGGCTAATTTTGTATAACAACGCAGCAAAGTAATTTTTCAATTAAAAAAATATATGTTACAATTTAATCGTCTTTTATTTCGTTTGAATTTTATTCGCACATTTTCGTCCATGTAGATATAAAAAAAAATGTGTACACGGACCACACATGTGAAGTGAAACTTCTTTTCTTAAATAATCTAACATTAGGCGGTGCATAAGTCATAGGGGAATGGAGCAGCGCACACGTCACTCATATATATGTATATATTTTAAGTAAATAAATTGTCGCGTGTGACGCCTGGACGCTCGTAGCGTTTCAGGTTTCGCTGAGTTACCATCAAACTTTCATGCTCATCTGGAAAAGCTGCTATACCATTTACAACCCGTCCGATGAGAGTTTCACTTTGAAAAATACCCCGTGAAATTATGAGGTAAATATTCTATTATCTAGAAAAATTTGGTCAAAGACCGCGTTACCACCTGCAAGAAAACTTTTGCGAAAAAATTCCGACAGTCTGTCCGATACAAATGTAAACTACGTAGAAAGTGCGGACATTTCTCGCAGAAGTTTTCTTGCAGGCGGAAAGGCGGCCTAATTCGTGGTTTCGAATTTGAAAAAAAAAGCATTTCCAAATTAGTACTCTACTAGTTTATTAACCTGAGGCACATAAGTGATATCGTATTTCAGTCCGGTCATTGTTGAGTCGATCCAGTCGCGTATCGCTGGGAGGCTGGTGTACACGCCTGGTACATTTTGCCGGCCGCACCCCACCCCCCACGACACAATGCCGGCCTGGTAGTAACGCCCTTTTGTCTCCTGAAAAACAAATAATCATCAAGCTTGTGGCGTGTATGTGCGTCCCTCCAGCTCAAAGGAAAGATATTGACCGTTGAAGGGACGCGCGGGGAGACATTTCAGGTAGCGTCACTTGCGCCAACGCATGCGCGATGCGAGTCAGTCATTGGCTTGGCCGGGACTCGGTAACGTATAATGCGATTCAAATAAGAATAGAAAAGCCTCCTTCCATAGAATGACCTCCTTCTGTCAAATGACGCTTGAAAAGTACGGTTTGCAAAAAAAACTTGGAACCCTTTTTTAGCACTCCGCTAATTCAAGAATAAAAACCAAACATTTGTAAACAAACAAAAACAAATATTGATAATAAATATCGGTTGATATTTTTTTTACTTATTGAGCTTTGACCATGAATGGTTGATAACCTAAATCGTCAACCGAATGTCACTTTAAGTTGCGTTCAGAAACACCATTTCAAACTTTCGTTTACATAAAGGATGCATGTTCGTATGTGACCTAGTAATAGTGAATGATTATTCATAACTACTCCGGTGGTAATGCAGAGATGAGCGGAATAGAAGAGCTAGATTCTGATTAATGTTTTTTCTCACAGTCTTAAAAAATAAATATTATTAGAAATCGGTGATTTTTTTTCTCAATCTTAGTAAATAAAAAAATCTGATGCTTTTGCTCACTTAATCTTACGAAATAAGTTTTATTAAATGAAAACTTCTTTTGCCCACCCTACCTATTTGGTTTGAATTGACAGCTATGACATCACAATATGGCGCCCAGTCGGTCCTATTCTTAGTTGAATCGCAATAGCCACGCGCGGTGCTATGATTTTCCCGCGCTCGTGTGCTACCGTTAGGTTTTTGAAATAAAGTATAACCATTTAAACGTGTATTATCGTTTCACTAAACCACACTCCACCTGGACGGTTCAACAAGCTCGAAATCATCGCCACCATGAATTACTCCTATTATGCTTGTGGTACTGACTACAAATATTAATTTGACTAAATATCAAAAAGGTTTATTATTCTTTACCTTTCCGTGGTTTAATTTTTTTTATGATTTTATTTATTTTTTAAGCATTTAACTGCTAGATGTTTAAATCTAAAGAAAAGTTTACTAGAAAAAAAATCCACGCGGACCAGGCAGCGGACGGGACTCGAACCCGCATCCTTCGCTATCCGGGCGAATGCACTGACCATTTTGCTACCACGGCCCTATTAGCCGCGTCGAAATTTTCCTAGCCTTAAGCTGCAAGGCAGCGCCATCTTTTCGCATTGTAGGTAACCCACAATTAATTTTTTTTGTTAAAGAGTTATTATTTTACAATTTTTTGTGGCTATATTTTTTTGTAATATACAACTTGTAACACCTTTTTTTGTAGCACTGAGCTAATTTGAGTTTAAAATCAAATCCTTGTAAACAATAACAAATAGAAGGGTTTAGAACCTTACACGGTTATTACAAATTCACTATAGCTTTATTTTGTGTGCTGTGTGCAGTCGAATGTAGCTTTCATGTAGTTGTAAAACATTATTTATATACAAAAAAAAAGACAGCTGTTGCTCTTAAATGTATTAATAAACACAAAAGTGAACCATACTTTGATTAATATGTGGAGAAATGTTATGTGGTCTGCGCTAGGTGCCTTTAAATGCGCAGTTTTTATTTTAGAATTGATTTCTAATGCATTTATGCAATATTATTATGTTAGCTTGGGACGGAGTATTTTATTTAATGTACTATATTTAAATTATAAATGCACAGACGTCATTTGCACAACGACAGTAAATTCACTTAACCATAAAAATAATAAACCGAAATACAAATTAAACGACTGTCGTCATGAAATTATTATTAAATTTCGGCCTTTGAAAAGTGTCACGCCCTCTTGGGTGCTTTATTTGTGTTGTCTTTTTTATATTTATTGTATCGCAGTTGTCGGTAGCATATTCTCTGTAATATTGCTTTCAATTGCTTATTGTAATATAATGTATTTTCTCTTTAATGTGGTAAAATCACTCAAATTTATGAATTACGGATTTTGTGTGAAAAAGGTTTGTCGAGTGTTAGAGTATTATCATATTTTGGTGTTTTTAATTGCTTATTTAATTATTATAACTATCACTACTCCAGAATGTAGCAGATTCACGGGGCATACAGTAGTTGGTATCTTTTCGTCATTATTGCTGTGTATTGGACTGTGGCTTAGTGGTGAGTGGGGCAAACAAGGTTTGGGATACCCAGCGATTGGGGCACTGATTCTGGTCATAACCCAGTCCTTGTCGCGACTTGTAATACTTTACAAATTCTTATTTAGTACCAATGGCTAATAAATTATCAGTTTACTATCAGAACTGTAGGGGATTAAGGACGAAACTACAAACTACTTATATGAACATTTTATCGGAGTCGTACGACGTTATTATCCTAACGGAAACTTGGTTGAATAGCACTGTTGAGGATAGTATGGTTATTGACTCTCGTTATGTAGTTTTTCGCTGCGACCGAGATCTCGTAGCAACCAACAAGCGGGATGGCGGCGGGGTGCTGGTTGCAGTGCGGCGCGGCTTGACTGCGCGCCGTGTTGCTGTGGCCAGTGCTCAGCAGGTTATTTCCCCTAAGGTAGAATATGTATTATTGCAGATCTCATCTAATAGGCGTGATAGGTACCATTTAATATGTGGCCTCTATATACCTTTTTTTTTTTTTTTTTTTTTTTTATAGATAGGTCCGACAAATGACTCCACCCCACCTGATGTTAAGTGAAGGTGAAGTCCAGACGTGACGATAGCTGATACAGCAGTTTTACCTGCCACACCAGCCATCTTCACCCTGCCGGCCTGCATGTTGCTTCTTCACGCCTCTTTTAAAGGATCCCAGGTTGTAAGAGGGAGGGAACACGTGAGCGGGCAGAGCATTCCATTTACGGATAGTGCGACAAAGAAATGAGTCACCAAATTTCTTTGTACGCGTTGGAATTGTGGCCACAGTTAGACGATGACAACGTAGGCCAGCGCGCGTGGTCCTCTGAAGGAAAGGAGAAGGTGGGATAAGAGAGAATAACTCCTCAGAACACTCGCCGTGGTACAGACGATAGAACGCGCTTAGTGACGCCACGTCACGGCGTAATTGAAGAGGCTCAAGGTGTTCAGTCACCTCCTCATCGCCTATGATGCGGATCGCGCGTCTCTGTAACCTATCCAAAGCATCGAGCAAGTACTTGGCGGAGCCATCCCAGAGGTGCGAGCAATATTCCACGCAGGACCGCACTTGCGTTTTGTACAACAAGCACAGTTGATCGGGCGTGAAAAAACGCCGCACCTTGTTCAGGACTCCGAGTTTACGTGAAGCTGTTTTGATCACGGTTTCGATGTAATTCTTTGGATTCAGGTCTGAGCGAACTTCCATACCGAGCATGGAAATGTTGCTCTGCAGCGGTAGTGTTGTGCCCTGAAGAGATGGAAGGGGAAGGAATGACGATGTTTTTGCCGTGAAGGCGCAAGCCTGAGTTTTTTTGGCATTGAACTCAACCAAGTTCCTGGTACCCCATTCGGAAATGTGGTCCAAAGCCTGATTGAGTTCAACGACAAGATTCTCGCGTTTCTCCTTGGTTACCGCCAGCCCAGCCGCTGCTTGTCCGAGATACCCCGCATGCACTGTACTATCGTCTGCATAGCAATGAATATTCCCAAGAGGAATTAAGTCATTGATATGCAGCAGAAAGAGAGTGGGGGATAGGACGGAGCCCTGGGGAACGCCGGCATTCACTGACATGAACCGCGAACTGCTACCATCCGTAAGGACACGAATTCTACGCTCATGCAGGAAGTCAGCTACCCAAGAACAGAACTGGGCTGGCAGACCGTATGCCGGAAGCTTGGAGAGAAGGCTTTTGTGCCAGACCCTGTCAAAAGCCTTGGCAATGTCAAGGCTGATAGCCAACGACTCGCCACGCTTGTCGATAGCCTCACCCCAGATATGAGTTAAGTACGCTAGAAGATCACCCGTCGATCGTTTCGGTCTAAAACCATATTGACGATCATTAATCAAGGAGTGATCCTCTAGGTAGCGGGTCAGATGGTTATTAAGGACCTTTTCTAAAACTTTACATAAAACTGAGGTGACTGCTATTGGCCGGTAGTTTGCCGGGTCTGAGCGATCCCCTTTTTTGGGCACCGGTTGCACATTGGCATCTCTCCAAGTCTCCGGCACACGCCCCAAAGAATACGAGCATTGGTACAAGCGCGTGAGCACGGGAGACAACTC